TACTACTACTACTACTACTACTACTACTACTACTACTACTACTACTACTACTACTACTACTACTACTACTACTACTACTACTACCACTACCACTACCACTACCATTACTACTACTACACTACTACTACTACTACTACTACTACTACTACTACTACTACTACTACTACTACTACAACTACTATTACTATTACTATTATTACTATTACTACTACTATTACTACTTCTACTACTACTACTACTACTACTACTACTACTACTACTACTACTACTACTACTACTGCTACTACTACTACTACTACTACTACTACTACTTCACTACTACTACTACTCCTACTTCTACTACTTCTACTACTACACTACTACTACTACTACTACTACTACTACAACTACTACCACTACTACTACTCCTACTACTACTAATACTACTGCTACTACTACTACTACTACTCGTACTACTCCTACTTCTACTACTACTACTACCACTACCCCTACCACTACCACTACCATTACTACTACTACACTACCACTACTAGTACTACTACTACTACTACTACCACTACTACTACTACTGCTGCTACTACTACTACTACTATTACCACTACTACCACTTCTACTACTACTACTATTACTACTACTACTACTACAATGTAATTCTGCTATTACTATTACCTCTGAGCTACTGATACTAATAATAATACGAGGTTCTTACATACTGCTTAATCACAACCTAGTTCGTAGGTCGTCTGAAAGCGGTTCACAAATTAGTATCCGTCGTTACAGGGCCTTTTCAACATTCAATAATTTCAGCACTGCCCAACCACGTACTCATTTACAGCTGAGTATACTGGAACAAGCGGAGAAAAGTATCTGCTCAAAGACAGTACCGTGCCGCGACTCGAACCCGTAAACCTTCGGTCACGAGCCCGGCGTCCTACAACTAGACTACCGTGCGTATGAATGGTACTAATAACACTAATGAAACATGTGTGTAACTTATACTTGAAATTAGAGATATGCTTTATGTACATTCGGCAGGTATGTAATATCAACGGCTACCACTACTACTACTACTACTACTACTACTAACTACTACTACTACTACTACTACATGTCCACCGTACTACTGCTATTACTACTTCTTCTCAAAAGACACTGCTGATTATGAAATTAAGGTAGTTATGTTTGATATTGAGATTGTTTGTACAATGACTATTTTAATTATAGTTTACTTCCCGTTTCGTTCTTGATGATAACTCAATTTATTAATTTTTTTTGTTAGTAATTGACTGCGTATAACGCTTGTGAGCTATCATATAATTCGACGGAGATTTATAGAGTACTTGACATTCTATAAATTCTTGTGAAGTGTATGTATACATCTAACTCCCCTGCTTCACCAACCCGGATTTCCTTTTCTTATCACACGACTATTACAAGCGTACTTTTACTTTCAGAGATGACATTGATTCGATTCCTACCATGATCTGATATATGTTTTATATTTACAAAAACGTGAGTTTAAACTTTTAATTATCATTTTTTTTAATATAAGGCATGCCTGTTTGAATTTTGTTGTGTCCTGTCACGGAATTAGCGCTAAGTCCGTGGTACTGTCAAATAATACTATTGATTCGGTGTTTAGTATGGTTTAACCTTTTTAAGAACAGAACGATTATAGCTATGATATGATCACTTTGTTTATCGATTCTGAATTCATAAATTAATAATTCTGGTCTTCATTGTACGTGGACAACTTCAAAATTGCTATTTCAGCTGACTAACGAGATGAATTGTGAAGTCGTTATGATACTGTTAATGACGATACCATACACCTTGTCTTATGAGATGAAAGACCAACGTAAGTACTTTGGTACATACTATTATCTTATATTGTGTTTCAATAGTAGTGAAGATAACAGTTAGCAGTCAGTTCAATTTATTGTGTTGAAATCATGTCAAAGTATCGAGAAAATAAAGGAACGAACCCTCTTTTGTTGTAATGTAAACATGCTATTTTCCTGAACTGATGTTGATGTGGGATCCTGTTGTAGTGGTTAAGCCTGGTGACACAGCCTTATTCCGGTGTGCTGGTAGTCAGGATGAGGTAGGGCCAGTTTATTGTATATTGTTGTACCTCTGCTATACTTTGTTGAACTGTTTATGTATGTATATATATATATATATATATATATATATACAATATACTTTGCGGACATGTATAATACGATCGCTGTGAGTGACGGTCATCCACTAAACTTACTTTTAAAACCTTTGCATTCGCTATAAGTTATACATGTAGAAATACGAAATGGATATACAGCCTTTGTAGTAAAAATGACACAATGAATTAAACAAGTCATATCGACCGAGTTAGTACCTAAGTCGTAACTCATACGTATTTACGATGCAAACATAGATATGCACTATTTTATAACAAAGGAAAACGCGCATGATATCACGGGGATCACTTTTAAGAGGAATATGATTTTACAAGGTTCTAGATTTTAGTGTGCTGACGTGCATGTAATTAAACCTTTAAACAATTTTATAATTTAAACGAAACTGCACATAATCTATAACGTCTGTTTCAGACGTCATGGTTCAGGGGAACGGAAGTGCTGAGGGACGGAGGAAACATTAAGATATCTGACAAACGATTCACTTTCAGAGATGATGCCGATGATGAACAGCTGATGGCATTATCTGACACAGTTTTTGGAGATAGTAACTCGTATGTGTGTCGGTCTAACACGGGAGATAGAGAACCACTAGTGGCATACACACTTGTAGTATCAGGTTTGTATTAGCCTACATTAATTCTCTTCCTTGTCAGAATTTGACTTGTAACGGACATGCTCACTCAAAGTAAGTTTAAGCATCCAATTGACGTCATAAGTGGAGATCGTGCATCAACAATTACGTTGTACTCATCGTAACACTAATTGATATAAATATTAAGTAACAGTTTTATATGTATACGTTAAGAAACAACATATTTTCAGTAGAATGTCATTTACAGTAATCGCTTTTCAGCCGTGGCACGGTTCGTAATACTATATGATAGGAACATTCCATCCGAAGGGTTTTCAAATTTGGTAAAACCCGACGCTTTTGCCAAATTTGAAAATCCCGAGGGTGGAATGTCCCTATCCTACACCCTTGGGCATGAAAGAGTATTTTACTCTCATTCCAACCACCAGAATTTGGACTACCCACCATTTTGAAAATGAATTTTTCCCCTGAACTTTTTAAACGAAAACGAATTAGCCAGCCAGATTAGGCATATCCCATATTTACAAACAATGTTTGCACAGAAAAATTAATCACATCTTTCTAACGTGTTCGGTAAACATACAATGGCACAGTTCCGCTATCGCAATCCCGGATGGATTTTCGTAACCGTTCCGGTATTTACTAATCACTCATCACTTCCGGGGAGTTCAACCAAGCACGCCCCAGTAAACAAACTCAATGAAGATTACCCGAGGCGATTAAATCGTATACTGTACAGGTAAATAACATGTTCGATAAACTACAGATGGCATCTCGATAGGCGTTTACCGTTGTTGACAAAAGACGATTGTCATTTATGTTAAAGAGAAATCTAATATCGGCAAAAAAACATCATTATTGACGCGATGGCGTTATGAAATGTCATGCTTGCCGATGATAGACATTTTTCAGCTATGTTGTGTTTAATGATGGACAAAAAATGATAAGAGAAACATGTTCTTACATCAAACGCAACTGTTATTCTTCTTTCTTGTGTTAATTATTATTTTTAAATATACAGGATTTCAAAAGTCATTTTGTACCTAAAGTAAAAAGCTGTTTGGCAAGCTACCCACAAATCACGAACTTCATAACATTGTGCATAACCTGAAATAAATTAAAAAAACGTTTTTTTCCCCTACATGTACAGTCAATAAATCATGTTACAATATTTTGTAGATGGGACGTAAATACTGTTGTGTACCAGGATGTTCCAATACATCAGCTAATGTAACTGAAGAGGGGAAAAAAGTAACCTTACATAGGCTTCCAATGGCAGAAAGTAGGAGTCACATAAAACAACAATGGATACGGCGTCTGCGCAATGTTCGAGCAAATCTAATTGTAAATGACAACACCAGAGTTTGTTCGGATCATTTTGAAGGGGAATTCATAGAAACCTCCGTACCATCTTTATTTCCGTCAAAACCACCAAAAGATGTCCTTAAGCAAAGAAGGCCCTTAGTACGCCATCCAATAGAAAATGAAAATAATTTTGGATTAGAGATGCTTTATGAAACTGTGCAAGTGTTTGAGGAGTCATATGCACAGCCAAATTCTGTTGAAAATGTATGCGAGTCTGAAGATAAAATCAAGTCGAAAACAAGAGTTAATGTTGAAACAAACACTTATCCAGTAATAAGTTGTGATGCGGCAAGTCAAACTTTTGTAGTTCCACCAGGAACTACAAAAGATGCAAGTACCCAAGCAAATTTTCCACACATGATGCCGGAAGATCTGAAAGGGGACGATGACAAAACTAGATTTTACACTGGCTTTGTAACTTTTTCAATGTTTTGGCACTATTTCTTAACCACGATGAAACATGGTGCAGATAAACTACACTACTGGGAAGGGGATAAAAGATCAGGCGGTGCTGAGAAACTTTACCATCAGTCTGACCATATGAAACCAGGTCGTAAACGATCTTTGCGTCCCGAAGATGAATTTCTATTAGTATGTATGAGATTGCGTTTGGGTTTACTTCAAGAACATCTTGGTGATATATTTTGTGTTTCTAAAACAACTGTTTCTCGTATTGTAAACACTTGGGTGAACTTCTTATATGCCCATGCAAAACACTTGGTCCCTTGGCCATCTAGAGAGCAGATTTTGTGCAATCTCCCAAAAAGTTTTCAGGATTACAAAGACTGTAGAGTAGTGATTGACTGTACAGAACTATTTACAGAAAAACCTTCTTCTCTCACAGCGCAATGGCTCACCTGGTCAGAATACAAACATTCTAATACATTTAAACTATTGATTGGTGTTGCGCCTAATGGACTTGTAAATTTTATCTCTCGTCTTTGGTGTGGTAATGCGTCTGACCGATACATTTTCGAAAATGATGACCTTCTTCCTAAGTTAAGTCCAGGTGACATGGTAATGGCAGATAAAGGATTTACAGTTGAAGATTTACTTCCAGTAAATATAAAGCTTAATATGCCACCAAGGATTCCAGGTTATCGACAGATGACCACAAATGAGTTTTTTCAGACTCAAGGTATTGCCTCTGCTCGTATCGTAGTTGAAATGAAAATGGAACAGTTTAAAAACTATCGGATACTAAGTGGCTCCTTACCTCTATCAGAGGCTCATCTAATTGAGCAGATGGCATTTTTATGCATTGCGTGGACAAATCTTTTGCCCCCATTAATGAAATAAATGTTGAATCTTACTTGGTACTTATTTATTTGCTACATGTATTTTAGATGGATGGATACTATTCAATTATAGCCTTTGGCTGAGGTCAATACCTGGATTTATCGACCCGAGGAGAGATATATTGACCGAGGATGCAGTCTTTTTATGAAAAAATAATAAATGTAGTTGTTTATTACTTAGTGATGAGCAATGTATCAATGATACATTACAGTATATGCATGAAATAGAGAAAAAAGCCAAGGAAAACTGAAACAAAAATATTGCTTTGATAAATTTTATTGGCAAAAGTTATATCATTTTTTTAATGAAATTTATAATCATTTGGTGTTTTTTTTGAAACAAGAGTTAAAAATAATTTTCTTACTAACCAACTCAAATGAACAAGAGGCCCAAGGGCCTTAGCGGTCACCTGAGTTATATCATAGGTACTGGTAGCTTTATTTTATTGTTAGATATATATAGATACACTGTACTTATCAAATGTCAAACCTGCATACAATGTACATGTATTTGATTAGCAGGGTTAATTGGACGTAGTAAACCACCTGATTTTTAAAATACTGGCACTTGTATATTAATTTCAAGAGACATGATAGAGTGGAATACCTCTTTTGACCCTTTCAGAAAATATTTCTGGCAACATGCCGCGTAAATAAAATTGTCTCAAAAATGGAAGCATGTTTTCTTTCCAAAAGTTGTCTTGAGATTCAATTCTCTGAAAATGTACATCTTTTTTAGTCCAGACAACAAAGTCTGTCCACCTCTGTTCACAAATGGCCATTTGGCCTTGTATTTGATACATGTAGTTATGTGTTGCTTTTAATTTCAAATCATTGTCTTCAAGATCACAAAAAAATGCTGGATCTTTAGCACAGTCCAATGGTGACATTCTTCTCCACAGCTTTGTAGCACCACCACTGTCAGATCCATATGGACATTTCACCTCCACAATTCCAGTACCACATTTGCTACAAGTAACCAAGCTATCCACACTTGCCCCAAGATATGGAAATTTAGGATTTACAACTAATCCCCTGTCATCTAATTCAACGTTTCCACCACAAAACTTTGAATGTTTTTTCCTGTAGTCCTTCAGGGCCTGCCGTTCATATTTTCTTCCATGCTGAAGGCTCTTCACAGTGCTTGGTGGAGGATTATACCCTCTCAAAGTTTTAACAAGATTGTCAGGTTGTGTTTTCTTTCTTTTGGATACATTTCCCATGTTGGAAGCTGTGATCAGCACAGTTCTTGCATCTGCCCAGTTTTTATTTAAACTCTGTCCTCTGGTTCCAACTTCTAAATTATCTATAATATCTGTATTTACATTCAGTTTGTTAAAAAATTCTAAAAATGCTGTCTTACATTCATCAGAGTCAAGATCCACAAAATCTGCATACGAAAAAGTTGGTTCAAAAATCTTCAAAAATGAAGAAATGTCTGTTGGTTGAGATTTAAGTGTTTTATACAGTACACATCCTGGGTTTACAACTTCAAGACCTTCAAGTAAATCATTCAAAAAAATGTCCGGGTCATTGCAGGCTGATGCTTGGAATGTGTCAGGGTAAGGACGCAACTTTTCCGTGTCTACGTTTGTTGAGAACCTAACTTCATGAACACGTTTTGGGCTTGGTTTTCTTTGAATGGGTCTAGGTCTATCCCATCTGCACTCCTGAGATGTGCATGCATTTTTCATTTTCACAAGTGTGAACAACAAACCTCCAACGTGTGCACAAAGCCCTGCCTCTCCAGCTTTACAGTCACAATATGCAGTCATTATATGTCCTGTTGACTTGGTGATACATACATTTAGACTGTACAGATTTGCTGTCTGACCAGTATTACCCACATGCACAATATTTCTCATAGGTGGCTTACACTTCGCTTTTACGTAACAAACTTCCGATTCTACAGACACATTATGATACGCAATGTCACGCAAAAAGTTTTATGCACAAAACTTCCTAGCTTTCTTAAGATGTCGTTGAAATCGTGCACGTTTTCCAGATGTAGGATTGGTTTGATATAAGAAATAATTTTCAATGTCTTTGTCACTGATATCTGGTAAATTATCATTTGAGACGGTTGTCCACGAACTGTCCAGTTTAGAGAAATCTGTATGCATTCTCTGGCTCATTTCTAAGTCGCTATCGATGACACTTGAGTCTGAATCCAATAGATTCTGGTATGCACGAAAAACACGCTTTACAAGCACATCTTTTGAGCCACTTCTTTTCAACCCATGATCTTCCAACCAACCTTTCAGTTTTTTCACAGTCCATTTTTTCAGGTCATCAATATTCGGTACTGAACTGTCATCCTCAGAATGGTCAGAACAATCCAGTTCCATCATAGCTGAAATGAAGTTTTAAATATATATGTTCTATACAGTAACTTCCATATTAGATACAGAACAAAGCTAACAGAAACTGTCCGGTAAAAACGTAATAAAAACATTGACATTTGAGTTTCAATAACGTTTTCTTGCGCTATTTGAACTTAAAAACTAATTATCTGTAGATAAAAAATGGTGTATGGCTATCTATTCTAAGACTACATCATTGTTATAACTGATTTGCAAAAGTGATCCGATTTGGGTACCGATCCGATTTGGGTACTGCCACCTTACTGTAGCGGTAAAATGCGTTATCTTGTCATAATATATCGTCTACAACTTACCATGTTGTCATCTAGCGTATATTAGTGTTGAGAAATTTTAATTTTTACATAGATCTCGTATCATTAAACTGATGATTTTTAGTGAAATTCGCTCTAAAATCGTGTTGTCCTGTGAAACGGAGCGAACTCCCCGGAAGTGAAATCGAGTGCAAACTAATGTCCGGAACGTATGCATAAAAATATCCGAAACCGTGATAGCGGAACCGTGCCATTTCATCACGTCGCCTTTTCCGCATTGCGGCATCCGAGAGTTCCAAATTCGTGACGTCACGTCAGTGTTGAGCCATTGTGACGTCACGTCAAGTGAAATGGGGTGTAAAATAGAAATTTCCTACACCCCTTTTCTTACCATGGACAGCTCTATCTTACACACAGGGAAATGAGAGAAAATGTGTGTACTCTTTGTGAATAATTTAATTAAATTAACTTATATTCCTCTACAGTTTAAAATTAATAAATTAAGGAGTTCTGTGCACCCTCGTCCCTCCACATCTGTTTCAACAGTTGTATAGACCAATTTAAATGTTTAACTGTTTTGCCCCAAACATAACTGTTGCGTTCTAGAAGGATGACACAGCTGTATGATGCAGTGACATATTGTATCTATTATCAAATTTTAAAGATGCATTCACCTTTGAGTGTGTTACATATATATTTTAACTCAACATATTACAGTGGTGGAAACATTTCCAATAGAAAATAATTTCAATTGAATTATTTCTATAGGGTGGCTTTAAAAAATCTGTCTGCACTATTCAGATAAATTTCATGAAATGCCCCTATATATAGCTATAGCAGTAAAACATTTTTATTTTATTTTGTTCCACTCTTGGTTTTGGTCAAATTGTGAACATTTATGATTGATTCACAATTTTAGTATTGTCAATACTTGTTTCAACTGTCTTAATGGTGTTTTTGACATGTCTTTCCTAAACTAACTGTGGTGAACGCAGATAAATAAAAAACATTTCAGCTGTATCCCAGATTTCTTCAGACAAACAACAAATTAGGCTACGTTATCGAATGGTAATTATGTGTCATTTAATAACAAATGATCAAGTCAAAATGAAAAATTGAGAAGGCAGATACAGCTAGGAAATATGTTTTGTAATAATACCCAGAACCTCCAGCGATCAGAGTAACTAATGGCAGCTTCAGCGGACCGCTGGTGGAGGTCAATGAAACCGGAAACGTGAGCCTGTGGTGTAATGTAACCGGGGTTCCCCTACCCAGGATATCCTGGTATGCCTACCTAAACAAGACCAACCCTATCGGTAGGTACTTGTGGCTTTCACAGTAATATTTGCAACATATACTGGTACAATATTTAAACTTTGAGCTGTATTATAAGTATGTTTACGCTCGTTCAAATCTTAAAAATATATGTAAAATGCCAAAAAAAACCACTGTCAAATATACCAGTGTTACGCTAAGTTGTGCTAATGCGTGTGCCTGTAAGCAGACTTCAATGAGGAAATTATCCTTCTTTATCTATATCATCTACAAATATTGCTTAAATTTATACACGTAAACTTTGCGAGGAACAAATGATAACTACGGCGATAGTACATATCCTGTATTATCAGGAATCATATTATTCCCTTCCGTTTGATTACATAATTGTCTGGAGTTAATTGCCATCTCTTCTCGTTTGCTGCATGTGCTGCATTGAGTCACACTGGTTTCCGCCTCGTTCGATGTGTTATATTCCGTCATAATGTTCCTCCTTCTCATTCGGTTGTGTTATCTTGAGTATTCTACTTTCATGATTCGTCATGCCTCTTCTGATTTGGTTGTATTTTCTTGTGTCTTACTGTCTCTTCTTCTCATTTGATTGTATAATCTTGAGTCAAACTGTATCCCCTTTCTCCTTTGTTTGTGTGACATTGAGGCATATTGTCTCCTCTTATCTTTTGAATATGTTGACTTGAGTCAAATTGTCTCCCCTCTAGTTATCTTGAGCAATATTGACTCTCTTCCCGTATGCTGGTGTTATCTTGAGTAATATTGACTACCCTCACGTTTGATTGTTTTAGGTAGCAGTATAAAGACGAAATGTCCTTTTCCATATATAAAAAAACATGTCTGCGAGGTACATAGATAGCGATTCTTCTAGCACAGTTCACAAACAGACAGATAGTTTCATGTTTGATATTTTCGGGTTTTTTTCTTCAAATTTCCCCGGTTATCATGCCAATACCCACATTTTCTGTAAATTACTGCAATATATTCTCTTTCAGAAATCGGTATTAATGGACCAAAACTGCAAATACGAAATATTTCGAGATACTGTCCTTGGCGATATTACTGCGAGATGGAATTCGCTCAATACGAGGACATGACATCAAAAAAGGAAATGAACCTAACCATTAATTGTAAGTTATTTACAGCTGAATATGTCTTGATCAAGTTCCCCAAACGAACCCCCCTTGATGCAAATATGTTAATAACCTGCAATGAAAATGAGTTTGTATTTGGGGCAAAGGTAAAGGAACTGATGATAATTATATGAAGTAATGTACTTTCTCGAGTCGTCGTGCCCCCCTTCAGGTTTACGTTGCATAATCCTGTGTCTCACCGTCTCCTCAATCTGAATGTAACCGTCAATATCACTTAATTATATTTCTATAAAAATGACACCGAATTGTTTTTGGTTTATATTTCGCGTATTTTTCAGACCGAAAATATAGCAATGATTCTTTGTGAAATACATTCGTCAACAGTACATTGTATTCATACAGATATTAATTCTGATGTTTGATTTCAGATTCGCCGAGTGTTGTGCTGCAAATCTCGAAGCGATCTACTGATGAAATTGATTGGCACTACATAGAGTTAAACGAAACAGAAAATAGTTTTGCAACGAACATAACAGACCGGATAAGCCTGCACTGCTTAGTCGATGCCAGGCCTTACAACTCTAGTACATGGCTATTCAATGGTACACCCTTCGTCACTCATAGTCGTGTGGACAGTAAACCGAACATAGGTTTTCAAGTTCCATTCACTTATGAGATAACGGAATTTAACATCGCTGTTCAGGAACACTACAAGTTACTTATGGTTGTATTTAAATTCCAGACAATTAGAGCTTATGGAGAGTTCGAGTGCCAGGCCCAGAATGCATTGGGAATGCAATCAGCATCTTTTAGCATACGTGAACCATAGAATCTACAACTTGTTCCTCTACACTGATTTTGGTGACACTAAAGGAGATATACGCTTACAAGAATCACATGTTGTAAATAACATTTTTTTTTATCACATGATTTTCGTAATCATAACTTATGATTGTGTATTGTTTGTTCATGTTGTACCCCAGATTTGTTTATCACACACAATTTTGTTGTAAGTGCAATGATTATTTTCACTCCGTTTTTTTCAAATAATATTTTGTCATTATGTTGTAAGTGTCGATGTTTCGACGATTCTACATGAGCTTTCTATTTTAAATTCCATTATCAAAAACTAACGCTTCATTGTTTTTATACAAATGCTGAAATTCATTCGCCATTTATTCCTCCTTTTATACTTTCATGAAAGCATAATTAGTCCTGATTCCTACAAGAGAACCAGAAAATGAAATAATAAATAATGACTAGTTGATTGGGAAAACAAATAAAACTGTACACTAAGTAAGATATTGTACTAGTTTTATATGACGTTGTTGGATAATGATGACCCTGCTGGAGGTATAATAGCCATCTCTAATGGACATGTAATTGGAAACAACAGATATGTTGTACACCCCACCCCGACCTACATAATTATGTAGACCTTATAAAAAATATATAATAAAACTTCATTAGAATTTTATTCATTTGTTTTACGTATATGACATCTCTCACGTTGTGATCATACAAGGAATGGAGGCAATATTTTTTTTATTTTTTGGGCATCATTGTAGCGTGCCAATATGTGAAAACAACCCAATATGCGAAAACAGGAAAAACTATATGGGTTGTTTTCACATATTGGCACGATACACAGCATCCTTCAATGTAGCTAGGATATCCACTAGGCAAACATAATCATCCTACACATAATGGTTCTTCAGAAGGAGTCGCATTAAGGGAAAAGATGACGGACGGACGACAATCGGACGATATACGGACTACGGTAACCGTTCCATTCAATATATTTACAGGCACATCGTGCCAGGTACACATTGTGAGAAAAGGGTTTCCATGACGCGAATGTACTAACATGTTGTAGCAAGTCCGTAACTGTTTACATTGTACTTGTTCTTTACATTTATCAACGTTTTTCCTGTTGAAATTCGAGATCAAGGTGCATTGTATATCTTGCGTTTATTGTTTGGTTGCTAAATTAGGATATTACAATATTTTGTTTAGTATGACGTCATCATGTTCTGATATGTTGTCCTTTAACGTAAATAATTTTGGTGGGTTTTATTTACTATCTAGTCTAGCGTCAAATGTATGATACATTATCGAATAATTATTGTCATAAAGTAACCGACATGAAAAAATATTCAATTCAATTGAAATTTATTTGCACATTTGTAACTACAAAGTAGTTTGAAGGCAAAACAGTAAAACACAAAATTAACATGGCTTCAAAGAAAAAATTTGATTTAAACATTTTTAGCTGCAAAGGCCATACCTTATACTGTCAGCAAGCCCACTCTCCTCAGATCTAGAGTCTGTTTATATGTTACTGAGAAAACGTAGTAATATTTTCAATTAATGCATAAATAAATAAAACAAAATAAAAATGAATAATAAAAATAACCAACACTGCAGTATCCATGCGATCGTTCTACTTTTTAATTGAATTTACTTATTGGACAATTTAATTGTATTAATGTCATTAATTTCATTTTCGTTTATGATTTAAACCATTATAGATATAGCGGAAATAATTTAGGTATTTATGCTCATGCCAGGATATGCACTACCAATAATGTTAACAGTGACATTGTTATGCATGGAGGAGGTCAGTTTGAATCGACGATGTAGACATTATAAAAGCATAAACTCATGTTGTTGTTTTTTTGTTTTTTTTTGTTTTTATCGAAGAACAAAACATGTGAATATGACTAATTGAATGTAAAACTACATTTTAATATAGATAGTTCTGCTGTATAATTTATATGTATTTAGTTTGAAAGTGCACCTGCATTATGTAATAGCATTTAAAAGCAATCCCCTAACACATACAGAAACATTTGCATGTATTGAAAATTCGTTTTTACAACTGCTATAAATGTAAATTAGCTATCCAAAAGCAGGTCCGTTGTGTGACGTAGAATGGGACGCTGACTTGATAAACACAGGTGGATCAGACGACTCGAAGCTGGAAATAACCATGCTATGGATGTGACCATGCGCAGCTGTATGGAAGACGATGGACTTCAAATCATATACGACGGCTGCCAGTCCGTGGCCCTTTCCTGAGAAGCTGTCGGCAGCATGTTGGGGATACAGAAACCAGGTGGCGATACCATACTGCATCACTAGGTGACGGTGAGGAGACGACACATGAAGGGTTATAGTCCCGTACAGGTCGTTATGATATGTACCGGCATACCCGTTGACGTCACGATGGAACGGCAGGTCCGTTTCTATAGCAGAGGACACAGAGGCATCCTTCCTCATCCATGGTTCCGGGAAAGTACATAAGGTTGTTTCATTTAACCAGGGGGTTTCTCCTAGCGCCACGTCCGCAAGGTAGTTGTGGAGTAAAGTTCGTAACACGTAATCAGAGTCGGAACCAGTCATGGATGTAAATATGCCTATGTCGGAGTTGGGGATAAGTGTTAGCAGAGATGAGTAGCCTGAAATGGTGCCGGTGTGGCGGAGGATAGGGTACCCTGTAGTAAAAGAAAGAGTATGGTACATGTATTTGGTGGTGCTACACACTAACGGATTACAGTAGACAAGCAGTTGCGAGCAATTGGTCAATGTAATATACCTTATTTGATTTTAGTATTAAACACAGATATTTGAAATCTTGTTGTAATTAAGTGTCCTAAATGTTTTTAGTAAAAGAATGATAAAAACACAAGTGTATAGACTACCAATTGCTTAAACAGCGAAGTCAAAATCCATGTGCATTGTTCACAACGTACCTCGGTAATAGCCGTTCCTCCAGCCAAACGCATAACTATACTCGCTTGTAGCGACAGGCACATTGGGTCTACTGAAGTACTTGGAGGAATGGCCGATGGAGTTACGTGGGTAGTAGATGGAGGCAAGAATGTCACTGTCCATGACCTTTGTCCCCGAGACGCTTCTTCCTCCACTGAGATGGAACATCATCCATTTCGTCATGTCTTCTGCACTACTCATAACACCTATTGCACCCGGCATATTGCCCCATGCTCTAAAGTATAAGTATCATATAGAAAGAAATGCGTCGTTATATAAATAGTTTAACTGTCGTCGAGAAGCGTTATGTCAATTTCTGTTCCTTTAATCTACGGTACAACGACCAGAGACAGTTATGATGTATTTTTGTTATTTTTTGCCCGTTTTATAAACATTCTCTTCTTGAAGTTGTGACGTAAGTAACATTCAAGGTGTGGTTAAACATTAACCTTATTATTTGTGACGATATTGAGTATCTATTTCCTTACGTGGTTTGATCATTTACGGTCGATCCGGACAATAATATACGCCATCTTTGCTTAATATGCAAATGAAAAAGCAGACGGTATATCATGGCTATGCAAGTCAAGGCAAAGGTTTCTTTTCGTGGTGGAGTATCTGTTATTTCGTTAATTGTTGTAATCGACATTAGATATTTAATTTCAGAGTATACCTGTTCAAATACATGTAAAACAAATACAAACATGTATCTTGGTGGGTTTTTTTAAATGGGCGATGGCAGACTGACCTCAGTAATTCGAAAGGGACGGCGTGGCTATGTCCTGTAGCTTTTGCGGTGACGTATCCTTGCGCGACCTTTGATACGGAAAGGTCAACTTTTGACAGGAACGAGGAGGACGACATCCCCAGATGTGTATATAGGTTTTCCTCAACAAGTTTCTCCCAAGATTTCCTTCCAAGCTTCTCCGATATAGCTGAGACCAGTCCGTACATAAGGTTGTTATATTCATATACACTTTGGAAAGGGTGGTTCGACTTTAAATATTTCATACGACTGTGAAAAAAAAAAATCATAAGAACAAATATAATGTTTCGTTTTAAGATAAGAAAATATGTATCATCCGTTACGTTGATAGTCTAATAATGATATTTTAAAAAAAATGAAATATCCGAGGAAAAAACACAACACTTTGTCAATCTGATAAACCTTATAGACCCCATTATAATACGTTTTATCCAATAAGAAAACGAATCACCAATTTTTGATCAACCATGACATATCAACGTTAGCGAACATGTGTTCTGTCAGATCTTGTTATTACGCCAAAACTATCGCTTACATTCCTTCGTCGTGCGTCGTCAGTCACATTTCACATATATCACTTTTTCTCAAAAGCCACTGATATCAATAACATTTTGGAGGAAGCTTCCATGACAAAAGACAAGCCAAAATTGTTAGTTATTTAGCCTTCACCTCAAGAAGCCGAAGGAGAAATGCTAAAACGGATCAACATTGATAAAGGTTCAAAAGTCTTCATCTTCAGACCCAGATATCCTAGAAGCTAATACTCTTCAAGAATAGAAAGCCTTCAAATGCTTCATCATAATTGTGATTTTTTTTCACTTGTTCAAGAGAAGATATGTGTTTCGAAAGCCGAACACTTGGGTTTCGAAAATGATTATTCACAATAGACAACTTTATAGCATAAACATATTTATCATCCCAACGTGTTATCCACATGTTTGCAACACAACTATTACATGTACAGCAGTTGTGAGGAAAATATTGAATACGGTAACAATTTCGTTCCAAACCCAGTCTTACACTCACATAAAGGGTGGATAAATCTATACCTTGGCAATGTTTGGAGCGTCAACGTTGGGTCGAGGTGGATCATGTTGTGTCGGGGAAGTCCCATGGTGTGAGACAAAAGGTCCCGGATTGCAGCATACTCTGTTCGGACCGCGGTAGAAAACTGGAACCCATTTCCGAAAATGTCAGCCACGTTTGAGTAAATAGTCAGACTGTAATAATGGAGTGAGAAATGGTTCTAAACATTACCAAATATTCCACTCTGGCATTAAATGTATGTTAGGCTTGAAGAGCCCCAATATCTAGATCTGAAGGATATTTGCAGACAACTTTGATGATAATGCATTGTCTATGGATAGAAGGACCATTTTGATTAAAACATTTCATGTTATTATATTTGGATTTTTTTATTTTGTTTTATCACGTGTCAAAGTAAATATATTTTATTACACTGGTAAAAGCAAATAAATGATATACGGAGTTGACATTACAAATAATGTTCACTGAACTTACAATAATTGTATATTATATTATCGTTTATTTAGTCAAGAATTTTCTTAAATTTTTATATAGAAGTTTAACAAATATATTTTAAACCTAACTGATCAATATCTTAATTCAACAACACAACGCATTATACTTTGGATACATTAGCCTATGGAGCTTACTTGTGCGCGGCAAGTTGTTTCATAAGAAGGGTAGCAGCAAAGGCTTTACTGACCGAGCCCAGGGCAAACAGTGTCGTGTTGGTCACCGGCTCCTGGGTGGTTTTGTTTCTCATCCCGTAGCCTCTAGACAGCAATACATGTCCGCCCTTCACGACACTCACGGCCAGCCCGGGGGTGGTCGGGTGACATTGAAGCACCTGTTACATAATGGCATGGGCGTCAACAATATGTTAATGTAGATAATATAGAAAAAAAACAATTGCACAGGAAATCATGAAATAAAACAACAAGTACTGTACACTGTACTAAATACTGACCGGTAGACCTTTCTGTCGTTTTGTGCTTCTTCGGGCGGACTGAAAACCCCCAAGAAAGCAGAAAAGCCAAGTGGGCCGTCTTGTATACTTGTTTTTTTTTTATATTATAAAGTACAAAAATTGCGCACGTGCACATATCGGCAAATTATAAGGAAATTATTTGTGATTTTCAACATCTTTCCTGTACGCATTTACTTCACGAATGTCGAAATTGCATGAATATTTTAGTAACTTAAGAACCGGCAGTACTTTATCTAAGATAAATGTCAAAACAAAATAACCAGTTTCACGTGATATGGAGACAGAACGTACGAATCAGGTACAAAGTATATTCTGGATATCAAAATTACATATTTTTTTATCATACATTTTATAATCGCCCAACGGCTGTTCGTCGTTCATGTAAAACTAAAACACGTGCGTCTTCTTCTCTCCATATTTTTATTCTCCAAACATCTTTATGAACATGATTGTCAATTGTAGATTCTAAAAATCATTGGTAAAGGGACATAGCTCGTACTATCAAGTTACACAATAAACGTTATCTCAAATTCGTCTACATTGCTGTACATTTGATCGGATTTTAAGACGTAGTTATATTTGATATACAATATCGATACAGTCTATCAATTACGTTTCAGTAACGATGTAAGGTCAAACATAATTTATCGTAAAGGCAATTATGTGGGAAAAAACACAGATAAAACGACTTAACGCATTACAGAAATAATATGTGATGATATTTCTAATGTTACCATAGAAAACAGACCACACAATGCTACGCAATGTCAAGTGAAGCATTCGTGCGCTAAGCGGAACAATACAGTGCCAGACTGGGGATTTGGGATATAAACAAATCCTCACCTTTCTTAGAACATGATCTACCGTGTGTATGAATGAGTGCTGACACAGCGATAACTCACAAACGAGGACTAGAGAACCCACCAGCAACCAAACCAGATTATAACCAGCCATAGTCAAATGTGGGTCGGTAACAGTGTAACGAGACATATCTTATCAGACGTAAGAAGTCTGTACAGAAGTGTGATCCCTTATATAGCTATCTATAGCGTTATTTGTGAATACACAGATTATTATCTCTTGTGGTATCATTTTAACACACTTTTTTTCTAAAATAAATATCTATTACGGGATTAATCTTATCAGGCATATGATTTTGTTACAACTATTAAACCCCGTGTAATTTTGTGCGTTACTGTGTATTTCATTATTTCTGTCCAAACCCCTCCTCTCCAAACACGTTTTGTCTGTGGAGAAAATATTTTCTGTTTGTTTCTGACCTACAACCTTGTAATGTTCGGTATCTGACAATCTACAATGTATATTAGTATAGTCCGAAACATTAGCATTTTCGACTAAATTATGTTGTTGTTTTTTGGGTTTTCTTTTGCAATTGCTTCGTTATATTCTCAAAGCTTCTCTTTATCCTAGTAATTGCAATATACATATCGTATAGTGTTTACATGTGTTAACCTAAAATAAGATAATTTAAAAGAGTATTCATCCTCAAATAAGACAATGAGTGATTTTTGGACGAAAACATGTTCACAAATCTGTTTAAAGCGCTGGTTTTACCTAATTTAGAGTACGCTTCAATTGTTTTGAGTCCAAAGAAAAACGAAAGAATATAGAACATTCAAAGAAGATCTATAAAATTACTTCCTAGATTAAGACTATTAGGTACAGAGAGAGACTACGCCGATTAAAGCTTCCAACTCTAACATACAGGCGCTTTAGCGGAGATACATGTATGAGTTCAAGTTTATGAATGGGCTCTACGATTCAAATTTGATGGATGGGTTGTATGATCTTGCCGCTCAAGGAAAAAACTCGTGGACACAGCTAAATATACTCAGACAAAATCGTATAATTTCAATATTACAAAACATTATCTACTCAATGAATAATTGATATCTGGAATAGTTTTCCGCAGTATGCTATTTCATCTCGTAAAGTATTTGACATTGAGAAATACTTTGACGAATTCTGGAAAGATCATGATTTGAAGCAAGATCAAACAGCGTCTTATTTATAGATTTATTTTATGTTTAACACAATGTATTTCAAATTGTATTGATGTGGATATAGAGGCAGGAATGCCTTGCGTCCACTAATATCCCATGACATCCTATTAGTAAATGTTGATATGCGTTTATCTTATATGGGAACAACTTGACTTCTTTAGACATATTTTTCGTAAGCAGGACAACAATATGCTAGTATTGGTAAATAGGATTTAGTCTCAATTTTACCCGGAAATACTTACTTTTTGAAGCACTTGGTTTCCCCTGCGGAATTTAGCCCGAGTTTATGTAGTCGTTAAATTGCTTTCATTGTAACGTCGGTTCATGTTGTTTGTTTGTTTGTTTGGGTGTTTGTTTGATTGCTGTTGGTTTGTACGAAGGCTAATTTTATTTTTCCTTTTTTCATTTGTTTATATTCTATTACTGACTAGCTTTGATACAATAGTTGTTTTATGAAATTCGAATTTCAGAGACAGCACTGAAATGTTGATTGTTTCTCAATTACCGGTTTTAAAACACTAAATGTTGTATAATAATATATAGAAGAGAATCATCAGTAAGCTTTACAAATAATATTGGACCTAAAGAATGAGATTCACGAGTATTGACCTCATGTAGCTACTGTATTTTAAACGCATATATATGCTACTTCACCAGAGTTCATTTCATAAGTGACACTATAAATGGTTTGCTACAAATGTACCTCAAGGAGGCAAATAAACCATCATACATGTCCCCTGTCTCAGGCACACAAACACACATGCAGGAATACACAACACACATGGATGCACGTCCTTACATGACCTTACAGTTGGGAGGGAGCAAACTTAACTTGGTATCTAGTGCACTTTGTAGTGCATACGTAGTGAACAAGGAAGTGCACTAGACAAAACATTTAAGTACACTCCAGTTCACCTCGGTGTTAACTCCAGTTTACTTCAGTGTTAACTCCAGTGCACTACGATGTTAATTCCAGTGCACTACGATGTTAATTCCAGTGCACTACGATGTTAACTACAGTGCACTACGATGTGAACTCCAGTGCACTTCGATGTTAATTCAAGTGCACACTCCAGTGCACTTCGATGTGAACTCCAGTGCACTCCAAAGTTTACCAAAGTTTTAAAGACTGAAGTACATACTTCAATAATTGTTTATAATGAAATGGGTTCCTTCATGCTATGAAAATCGAAAGGAAAAGGAAAAAATAGTTTAAATAAATATTTCATAATATCGATACACATATTTTTTTCTGATTACTTAAAAAGTTAATTAACATATACATGCACAAAGAGAAATTGTTCACTATCTCTGGTGATTATAGAAAATGTATAGATAACTGTACTATTGTAGAGGGAAAAATAGTTTTAAAACAGACTTTACCATAGTAAAAATCATATCACATTTCATAATCCCAAAGACAATTTAGAAAAAAACTATGACTCTAGTTTGACCCCTCCCCCTGGGTCTACTGGGTTCCCCACAATAACGTAGCAGGTATACAGCAGGTCTGGTGGTACAGTAATGAATTGTCACTTGCCATAATTCATGGCTACAGGGTTCAGTAAAGTTATATACATGTAAATAAATGAAATAAATTGATCGATTAACTAATAATTTAATTTTGCCTATCTCCCCCATAATATTTTTTGGGGTTTATATCGTATATACCTAAAAAGAAAAACAACTGATGACGGAACTACTTTTTACACTTCAGAATGCAAAATTACAACGCAGCTTTTTTTAGCGCAATTGTTTAGTTTACGTAAAAAATAAATAAATCTTTAACTGTGCATTTACAAAGTGTTTGTCTACTTTTTTTAAATTAAATTATAAAGAATGCCCAAGATCTTGTTTTGGTATATACGGTATATACCAAAACAAAATCTTGGTCATTCCTTATATAAGCAATCAAATTTATCAAGTTTCACATGGAACCTCAAGTTTTAATACAATACAAATTATTTTATTAAAGTGTCACATGTCAATTTTGCTTAAAACACATACATACAAGCATGATCTAAAATGTACAACAATATATGTTTGACGCCCAACCTATACTGAGGCTTACGAGACACTATAGGTATTCGTTAATACGACGTAATTTATCAATGCTAAAAATCAGTTCATAGATATTAAAAAAAAAAAAAAAGGTTAAGACTTAACATTAAAAACACATTTTAATCATACAGTTACATCGTTCCATCAATGGGAGATTCAAAGATGGTTGCTAGGGCTATATGTAACCAACCCCTTCCCTGACTGGCATTCAGTCGAAATAGTCGACGCTAAATGATAACACACCCCAGCATCATTAATTGGTCACTGTACCGTGATAGAGCCTTTTAAGGTTTATCTTAACTTTTATTATTTAAACCGTGGGATAATAGTAAACGAGATATGTTTGTTAGGTCAATTAATGTTGAAAATATTAATAACTTGATTGAAGGTATAAACCAGCTACATCAATTGCACGACGTCACAGCGGAATCGATTAATCAAACTGTTGAAAAAAATGAATACAATGTACATAAATGCTGCAGCTACTATAAGATCTAGTGTAACGTTGTCCGATTTACCTCTAGTAAAATAATTCTTAGTTTTCCTGCATTTTTCCGTGCCTGTTTACATGGTGAAGAAAACCAAGGTTTGTCATCATTTAATTGATAAGTGATTCGAGTACCCGTTTTAAAAGTTCCGAATATATGGCACAACAAAGGAAAATATTATAAGTCAATTTTAAAAATAGACTTGGCCAAATACAGGAAAATTTCAAAAAACAATTACATGAAATGAAGTCAAACAATCCTAGAGAATACTGGAAGATAATCAATCCAAAGAAAAGTAAGTAAAATGACATATCTACAATTGTCCTGAAGCCTTATTTGACCCTTTATGTGACCTTAATAGTTCACCTAGTATCAGCTCAGAAGCAAAGCAAGAACTTGAAAATGAATTGGGCAAACGTTGATTACAAAAGATTAACATCAGCCGTAATGAACTAATATCAACTACTGAAATAGAACATTGTGTTAGAAAATTTGAAAAACAACAAATCAAGCGGTGATGATCAGACCAAAAACGAATACATTAAAGCTACCTTTTTATTAAAAACTTTTTAATGTTGACTGTTTATGTTGTATTCTCAACAGGGGTAGTTCCTAAGTATTGGGTCGAAGAAAATGTTTTACCAATTTAAAAAAAAATAAAGGATCGGTATTGGACACCAGGAACTATCGACCCATTACCATTCTGAGCTGTGTCGGTAAACTATTTACAGCAATACTTACCAATAGATTAACAAAAACGGAAGAACATATATTGTGCCTTTATGGACTTTGAAAAAAATATTAGCTATTACATGTACCATCAATGGAAACATGCATAGAATTATAGTCAACATGTACAGTGAGATAAAGTCAAGAATAGTAAATAATGGAGAAACGTGAGATTTCTTCAGGTGTGAAAATGGATTCAGGCAAGGTGAAAATATGTCATCTTTCCTTTTCTCCATCTTTCTCAACGATATACAATTTTTCTTATCATCAGAGAACGCAACGGTCTTAATTCAGTATCCGAATTACTTGCAAACAAGCTCGGTATGTACTTAAAGTTATTTTGTTTGTTATATGCAGATGACACTGTATTATTAGCAAAAAGCCCAAACGACCTTCAAAACATCCTAGATTATTTCAAAACATATTGCGATACATGGAACATGAAAGTAAATATTAACAAGTCAAATATCGAGGGAGAATACCTGACGGTTTGAGATTTAACTATGATGGCAAACCGCTTGAAATAGTCAAGGAATTTAATTATTTGGGTATTTCATTTTATAAGTCTGGAAAGTTTTTCAAATGCAAAAAAAATATACTAGCGCTTAAAGGAACTAGAGCCTTGTACGAGCTACTGAAATACAAAGTCAACTGGATTTATTTGAAAAAAAAGTTACACCAGTTTT